ATATGAACCATCAATGTGGTGAAGAAAGTTGGCATATGGTCATATGTTTTGTCAAGTACATTATTAGTTTTGAAAAGGTCATTGCATTCAACCTCACCTAAGCGAATAATTACAAAAAAAGTATCAGACGACACACAGCTAACTATAGTAGGCATAGCGAATGATGGAAAGAGTCAAGGGATGTTGCGATTATTGGAAATGTTTGTCATGGAACTCAAAGCCAACAACATTAAAATGATGGTTTTGCTGGTAATAGATTACCTAGAGCTGAAGCATTTTGTCTGTTATTTCTTAAGCCCAATTCAAGCTTTAGCTAACTAAAATAGAAATACTAGTAAATTACACAGATGAATTCTTCACATGTTCTGACTAATAACGAAGTTTGACATGAAGCTAGAAGTAATTGCCATTTTTCGATTCACGGTTAGGACATGTTTCCTATTCGATATTGTGTCACCACGCTTCTACAGGAAACCCATCACAAATAACAGTAGCATACCGCCATGTTGTACATGGACGTCGGAAAGTTGATACTGTGATAAAAGGATTCGTGTCCCGTTGGAGTAGAATCCATGTATCTTGCTGATCTGCCTGCTGACATGCCTATGATCAATAGGAATTCCTTGAGCACATGCATGCATTGGACTTCAGCCTTCATAAGCTGCTCCCTACCGCTATCGCAAATCGCCGACATATAAACCTAATAAAAACGTATCGCACCACAGAAAACAAATCGAAGACATGCAACGCATGTTTATGATCAAACGACGTTAAATTGGTGATAGAGGACGCAGTCAGAGGAGGGCATTCGTGGATTAATGTTGTTAAAGAAGATGACAAAAAACTGAAAAGCTATTAGCGATAAGGACGAGTAAACGGATAACAGATGGCGAGGATATAGCTGGGGACTTTGTAATCGCTGTATATACTACTACGTGTATTAATTCCCCTCGATTTATTGACAGCCCCTTGTGGTGTTGTGACAGACAAGCTTGGGAGATAAGAAAGGACACAGTACTTGTGTAAGAGAGGGCCTGTCACGTCACTTTGGTTTCTGTTCCTACTTTATCTCCCGTGTTGTAAACAGGACCAATTGGAGCAATCTTGACGTGTCCCTATAAATACTCAAACCCGCTGTGTCAAATTTCGAAGAAAAAATGGCTTCTAGCTATCTCATTTTTTTTCAATGTATCAGTTTATTGGGTGCAAAATTGAAGACGCATTAGCTGACATTCAGCACAGATATCCTGATTGTCCGGAATTACACAGAAAGTCGGCGTCTAACAACTAAATATCACCAGTGTCTTACATTGTACAAATATCGCATGTGTCTTACATTGTACAAATATCACCAGCGTCATACATTGTACAAATATCACATGTGTCGTACATTGTGCAAATATCACCAGTGTCTTACATTGTAAAGTTATTACCAGTTTGGTACATTTAACAAATATCACAAGTGTCGTACATTGTACAAATATCACCAGTGTCGTACATTGTACAAATATCAACAGTGTATAACATTGTAAAAATCTCACAGGTGTATTACATTGTACAAATATCACATGACAGTTATAACTAGTGTCGTACATTGTACAAATATCACCAGAGTCTTACAATGTACAAATATCACCAGTGTCTTACATTGTGCAAATATCACATGTGTATTACATTGTACAAGTATCACATGTGTCTTACATTGTACAAATATCACATGAGTATTACATTGTACAAGTATCACCAGTGTCTTACAATGTGCAAATATCACCAGTGTCTTACATTGTGCAAACATCGCTAGTGTCTTACATTGTACAATTATTACTAGTGTCTTACATTGTATAAATATCACCAGTGTCGTACATTGTACAAATATCACCAGTGACTTACAATGTACAAGTATCACCAGTGTCTTACAATGTGCAAATATCACCAGTGTCTTACATTGTTAAGTTATTACCAGTTTGGTACATTTAACAAATATCACAAGTGTCGTACATTGTACAAATATCGCCAGTGTCTTACAATGTACAAATATCCCCAGGGTCTTACATTTTACAACCATCACCAGTGTTCTACATTGTACAAATATCACATGTGTCGTACATTGTGCAAATATCACCAGTGTCTTACATTGTAAAGTTATTACCAGTTTGGTACATTTAACAAATATCTCAAGTGTCGTACATTGTACAAATATCAACAGTGTCTTACATTGTACAAATATCGCCAGTGTCTTACATTGTACAAATATCACATGTGTATTACATTGTACAAAAATCACATTGTATTACATTGTACAAATATCAAATGTGTATTACATTGTACAAATATCACAAGTGTATTACATTGTGCAAACATCACTAGTGTTTTACATTCTACAGTTATTACCAGTGTCGTACATTGTACAAATATCACTAGTGTTTTACATTGTACAAATAGCACATGTTTCTTACATTGTACAAATATCACCAGTGTCTTACATTGTACAAATATCACAAGGGTATTACATTGTACAAATATCACTCGTGTCTTACATTGTACAAATATCAACAGTGTCTTACATTGTACAAATATCACTAGTGTTTTACTTTGTACAAATAGCACATGTTTCTTACATTGTACAAGTATCACCAGTGTCTTAAAATGTACAAATATCACTAGTGTCTTAAATTGTACAAATATCACCGGTGTCTTACATTGTACAAATATCACTAGTGTCTTACATTGTACAAGTATCACTAGTGTCTTACATTGTACAAATATCACATGTGTCTTACATTGTACAAATATCACATGTGTCTTACATTGTACAAATATGACCAGTGTCATACATTGTACAAGTAGCACATGTGTATAACATTGTACAAATATCACAAGTGTATTACATTGTACAAGTATCACATGTGTCTTACATTGTACAAATATCACCAGTGTCTTACATTGTACAAATATCACCAGCGTCATACATTGTACCAATATCGTATGTGTCTTACATTGTACAAATACAGTATCAACAGTGTCTTAAATTTTACAAATAACACTAGTGTCTTACATTGTACAAATAATACAGGTGTGTTACATTGTACAAATATCGCAAGTGTCGCACAATGTACAAGTATCACATATGTATTACATTGTACAAATATCACATGTGTCTTACATTGTACAAATAGCACATGTGTCTTACATTGAACAAATACAGTATCAACAGTGTCTTTCATTTTACAAATATCACAAGTGTCGTACATTGTACAAATATCACCAGTGTCTTACATTGTACAAATATCACCAATGTCTTACATTGTACAAATATCACTAGTGTCTTACATTGTACAAATAACACAGGTGTATAACATTGTACAAATATCACAGGTGTATTATATTCTACAAATATCACAGGTGTATTACATTGTACAAATATCGCAAGTGTATTACATTGTACAAATATCACAGGTGTATTACATTGTACAAATATCACATGTGTCCTACATTGTACAAATATCAACAGTGTCTTATATTGTACAAATATTGCAAGTGTATTACATTGTACAAATACCACATGTGTCTTACATTGTACAAATATCACATGTGTATTACATTGTACAAATATCAACAGTGTATTACATTGTACAAATATCACAGGTGTATTACACTGTACAAATATCACTAGTGTCTTACATTGTACAAATATCGCAAGTGTATTACATTTTACAAATATCACATGTGTCTTACATTGTACAAATATCACATGTGTATTACATTGTACAAATATCAACAGTGTATTACATTGTACAAATATCACATGTGTCTTACATTTTACAAATATCACATGTGTCCTACATTGTACAAATATCAACAGTGTCTTACATTGTACAAATATCACATGTGTATTACATTGTACAAATATCACAGGTGTATTACATTGTACAAATATCACATTTGTCCTACATTGTACAAATATCAACAGTGTATAACATTGTACAAATATCACAGGTGTATTACATTGTACAAATATCACTAGTGTCGTACATTGTACAAACACCACAGGGGTATTACATGGTACAAACATCGCTAGTGTCTTACATTGTAAGGTTATTACATGTACAAGTGTCGTACATTTTACAAATATCACATGCGTCGAACAATGTACAAATATCACCAGTGTCTTACATTCTACAGTTATTACCAGTGTCTTACATTGTACGAATATCACCAGCGTCTGAAATTGTACAAACATCACTAGTGTCTTACATTGTACAAATATCACTAGTGTCTTACATTGTACGAATATCACCAGTGTCTTACATTGTACAAATATCACCAGTGTCTTACATTGTACGAATATCACCAGCGTCTGAAATTGTACAAACATCACCAGTGTCTTACATTGTACACATATCGCAAGTGTCGTACATTGTACAAATGCACATATTTCTTTATTAAAAACCGTTTCTCTGTTATGAACGGCCAGACCAAGGGGCCAATTCTAGCATAATAAATGTAATCGTCTACTTATTCCAACATTAGATATTGTGATTAATATAAGTTGAAATAACTTGTTTCATAATTGTTGTATAACAATAAAGTTTATATTTATTTTTTAGATATTGCAGTGGCATGAGTGCATTCGTATCTTCATACATATCTACGGCCAATTTGGTATCTCAACCGTGATATGACTCCGGTATCATTGAGCCCTACAGGGGAAAGGTTCTTTTGAAAACATGGATCTGCCAATTTCCCTCTATTGGGCCCCATTTTCGGTCCTCAAGGGGAGGTGCGCACCTTGTCCTTAGACATCGTTGGTTTGCAACATATCTTATGTTGAATGTTGAAATCTGGTCAAATGTTAAAGGGAAGTAACATTGTATAGGTGTGCGGACGGTGGACAACGTCTGGATGATTTCCCAACAACTCAATAGCTGTCTTCCATAGTTGGGTTGTTGTTCCCACAATCAATAGCTGTGTCTTCCATAGTTGGGTTGTTGTTACCACAATCAATAGCTGTCTCCCATAGTTGGGTTGTTTTTACCACAATCAATAGCTGTGTCTTCCATAGTTGTGTTGTTGTTACCACAATCAATAGCTGTGTCTTCAATAGTTGGATTGTTATTACCACAATCAATAGCTGTGTCTTCAATAGTTGGGTTGTTGTTACCACAATCAATAGATGTGTCTTCCATAGTTGGGTTGTTGTTACCACAATAAATAGCTGTGTCTTCCATAGTTGGGTTGTTGTTCCCACAATCAATAGCTGTGTCTTCCTTAGTTTGGTTATTGTTACCACAATCAATAGCTGTGTCTTCAATAGTTGGGTTGTTGTTACCACAATCAATAGCCGTGTCTTCAATAGTTGGATTGTTATTACCACAATCAATAGCTGTGTCTTCAATAGTTGGGTTGTTGTTACCACAATCAATAGCGGTCTCCCCTAGTTGGGTTGTTGTTACCACAATCAATAGCGGTCTCCCCTAGTTGGGTTGTTGTTACCACAATCAATAGCCGTGTCTTCAATAGTTGGATTGTTATTACCACAATCAATAGCTGTGTCTTCAATAGTTGGGTTGTTGTTACCACAATCAATAGCGGTCTCCCCTAGTTGGGTTGTTGTTACCACAATCAATAGCCGTGTCTTCAATAGTTGGATTGTTATTACCACAATCAATAGCTGTGTCTTCAATAGTTGGATTGTTATTACCACAATCAATAGCTGTGTCTTCAATAGTTGGATTGTTATTACCACAATCAATAGCTGTGTCTTCAATAGTTGGATTGTTATTACCACAATCAATAGCTGTGTCTTCAATAGTTGGATTGTTATTACCACAATCAATAGCTGTGTCTTCAATAGTTGGGTTGTTGTTACCACAATCAATAGCGGTCTCCCCTAGTTGGGTTGTTGTTACCACAATCAATAGCGGTCTCCCCTAGTTGGGTTGTTGTTACCACAATCAATAGCCGTGTCTTCAATAGTTGGATTGTTATTACCACAATCAATAGCTGTGTCTTCAATAGTTGGGTTGTTGTTACCACAATCAATAGATGTCTCCCATAGTTGGGTTGTTGTTACCACACTCAATAGCTGTCTCCCATAGTTGGGTTGTTGTTCCCACAATCAATAGCTGTGTCTTCAATAATTGGGTTGTTGTTACCACAATCAATAGCTGTCTTCCATAGTTGGGTTGTTGTTACCACAATTAATAGCTGTGTCTCCCATAGTTGGGGTGTTGTTACCACAATCAATAGCTGTCTTCCATAGCTGGGTTGTTGTTACCACAATCAATAGCTGTGTCTCCCATCGTTGGGTTGTTGTTACCACAATCAATAGCTGGGTCTTCAATAATTGGGTTGTTGTTACCACAATCAATAGCTGTCTCCCATAGTTGGGTTGTTTTTACCACAATCAATAGCTGTGTCTTCCATAGTTGTGTTGTTGTTACCACAATCAATAGCTGTGTCTTCAATAGTTGGATTGTTATTACCACAATCAATAGCTGTGTCTCCCATAGTTGGGTTGTTGTTACCACAATCAATAGCTGTGTCTTCAATAGTTGGGTTGTTGTTACCACAATCAATAGCCGTGTCTTCAATAGTTGGATTGTTATTACCACAATCAATAGCTGTGTCTTCCATAGTTGGGTTATTGTTACCACAATCAATAGCTGTGTCTTCCATAGTTGGGTTGTTGTTACCACAATCAATAGCAGAATGGTAATTACAAATAAAACGAACAAATTCGTGAGCACACACCAATTGGTCTCGTAATCAAACCTTGATACGACGCATATTGCAAATATTACGCAAAATGAATGCTGCAGATTCCTAGAGTTAGCCTTCGTTTTGGAGTCTAGCACTACAATGTACATGTCGGTGATATTAATCATCTAATGCAATTCAAAAAGCTTGTATTTTTTTCGATTTCGAATTTTGTAGCCGAATTTTTTCGTCTTCGACAGAAATGAAATGGACAGAAGATCAATTTGTCATGGAATTCCAGACTTCAGATTATTTTCAAAAAGGCGTCATGTTGGTTTTATGGGTGTCCCATATGCATAAGGGAGGTCTGTAGCAGGATGACCTATCACTAATCTGTTGACAGTTGTACAAGGCTTGTCGTCGGCATATTATAACTCTACGGTGATTACAGAAAACGTCAGCATTATATCATCGTTACAAATTGAATTGAGATCTGGGACTTTTAGCTGATGTATAAGACTATATATATCAGGAGAATAAATGAGCTATCTGTCGTAGGCAGTGTATATTCTGACAGGCTTACGAGTAACGAGATATCGATAAAATCACCAAAATTCGGGCCCGCTGCGATCATCTTCTCGACATGGTGGTTTTATGCCGTTTTATTTTCCTCAGATAACATATAATTGGTGGCGTATAAACTGTTTCCTTCTTTCATGCATTATTTTTATTCAGCTATGGATAACAGAAACAAAACAATCGTTGTGAACTAAGATAGCTGTTTTTGGCGTTACACCAAATCACATACGACGGAGTAAGTGCTAAAACATCAGATAATACTAATTTTTTTAATACTTTCTGCTTATTAAAACACTTTCAGTTGAAACAATTTTATAGAAGTTGTCAGATTTATTTCATTTCACGAGTAACATACTTATACGTCGGTCTATTAACATTGATAAATCAATGCTATTTTTATGGAGTTCCTTTTTGTAGGATAACGTCATTACTGGTTGACTTCAATTAAGCATTGAACTGTTTTTGTATGGTATTTATGATCTATTTGAATGACACAGCTTTGCAAGCAAACAACATAATGCGCGCTAGCGTTATTTGACATGTCGTCAGAAACTGAGGACCCGTTGATGCGAGACGCGTGAAACTGATAGCGTTTACAGTGAGTGATCTTGCGACGGAGCACAGGTTCGTTACAAATGTCTGAAATGTATAAATGTGTGCTGTGACTCATATCAGTAGGTCTGTAACATATGTGTCAGTAGGTCTATAAAATATGTGTATTTCAGACATTTGTAACGAACCCCTGTTGATCAGTCCAGTGTAACAGACGATATTACTGATAAATTGCATGAGCGTTAAAATTGTTTCCATTGCCGGCATTGGTGATTTCAACCGATGCGCATTTTGTACATTATTGCAGACCTTGGTCTTGTTTTCGTTGTAATAAAAGTGTTTTTTATTTTATCTTTTATTTTGCACATAAATTTATGATGACATATCAAATCTCACAATGCCCAGCGATATTTCAGCAGCCGTCATGTATATTTATATTGGATATTGTACTTCCGGTCAGTGTTGTATTAATACGCTAAAAATTGTGTCTCGTGATGCATGGCAATTAAAGTCCCATCAACGACACAGCTTTCAAAGAGGCTATATAGTGACAATGCCATGCAAATGTTAACATATTACTTTGTTTGATAGGACCATGGCACAATAAAGCACTACTATTAAAGTTAGTTTTCAATATGAAATAAACCGCTCATGAACAAAAACAAGTGTATTCACCTTCTCTGAAGACATTGATCGATCACAAAGCCATCAGTTTAATCAAGAATCCAATTTTTCCAGGAATCATAAAACTATTTGAGAAAGAGGGAGCACGGGAAATCTGATTTTAACAGTTGTGCCTTATATTATTAAAAGCTGCACAACCGCCCGCCTACGCAAGGACAGTAGCTCCTGTATAGGACCTGCTGCAGTGTTAAATGTGGGTGAATTCATACTGCAGATGAGTAAGAGGCAGAAACGTCAGACTTTAAAGATCGCCCAGAGCCGACAGAAATCATTAAGACTACCGCACGTATTGAGTGCTTGTGTACCTGGTGCAAATCAAATGAGCCGAATACCAAATTAACACCAGGGCCGAACTTTTTTTATGGCCTGCAGTCAATAGACATATTTACATAACGGATGATGCACTTGTTAAAACAAACACATGTGGTAATCTATCAAATACGTGTGACGTCACAGCACGGCTATACCTTCACATCATAAGATCATCATAAGATATGTGTATGGTCATTCAAGTATAAACCAGTAAGATCGAAAGAATGAAAGCCTCTATTTTAATACGGGCACAGATTCTACAGCAGATACACAATGTTTTCTTCTACCCGTCCAAATATTTTGAACGTACAAATTATAGTGTCTTGATGCGGAAAATACCAGTTGTTTATATTTATAAATCCCTATGTCTAATCCCAGTTCCGATGTTACAAGGTGTACACGCCTCTTCTCCTTGGTGACCTGGGTCCCCCACAGTGTACGATGTCTCAATTTCCGATTATCGGCACATCCTTTCTTATTACTTCCGTTTGTTTTTTCTCGTCAATGTACGGAAGAATATCTGTGTATAGGAAAGGAACCAGAGACTTCAATGAAGCCTGGAAGCTTTTCATCATAAGAAGAAGTCTAGGCACGCAATCAATAAGAAGAGGCCAGCCAAGTTCCCGGAAGCCACTAAATTTAATCCGGGACGATGTTTGGAGGAATTCGTAGATTTCAAGGGAAAACGAAAACAATTGAACGTCTGTAATACAGCAGCAGGCCTGCGGTAATTCCTGTATTATACACAATTACGTATTGACCATTGGGTGTGCTTGTATCATAATCTGATACTTCTGCCGCATACAATATTCCGAATCTCAGTTGGACGATAAAACACATTTGGGCGCGTTCGTATCATCGGGCTGCGTTCGTACAGCTGCAGCACGTAAGGTCCTTATCACGTTGACGAAGTAATAACGAAATTGACAATGATTCCGCAACTTCACCATTTTACAAATAAATCAACACATTCCATGAATTCGATTGGATTTCCTTTTCCATTTGTTGATGAAACGAGAACCAGTTATCTTAATGACACGAGATGGTACTTGCCGTCTTTGATAACCTGACGGAGTCCTGACGTTGTCGGAAGAGTAAGTATAGTGGCTAGCACACGAGCAAATGACGCAAATAGGAAGGTTAGCTTGATGGACAAAGTCGGTTCATTCTAGATATAACAGAAAGAAGTAATGGCACTAAAAACAAATAAAAGATTTGCAGTTACTCAAGGTACATTGTACACCTCTCATTAACACATATAAGAGGTGTTTATTTAATTTTGGACTGCATGTCTCCTCATCATTAGAACACCCGTGTTATTTTGTATAACCATTATCCAATAAAGGAAACAGTAGCTGCCTGTGAAACAGCGACCGAGACGAGGATTTTATTTTACATTTATCGTTAAGGGTCGGTTGTTGTTGGAGGACATTTAAACATTGTAGTAGTTGTAAGGAAACAAAAATGTCTTTCTTCTCAGAAAAATACCTCCGTCAATGTGAAGAAAATACTTTTTGCCATTTGGCATTGACGTCATTTATAATAATTAGCTGAAACACGAAATGAAATCAATCACTACACAATTAGAGTATGACGTCACTGTCCCGTATCAGTTTCTATGTCTTTTCCTCCAAGGCTTCAAGGGCCGTTTGCCAAGGATCAAAGCCACACAAACGTCATTGACATCAATAGCATCGACTCATATCTAGCATCCTGTATTTAAATATCCCAGTAAGGGTTTTAACACGCAAAACTATAACGGATTATAATTATCAATAATGGCATTTGTAAACGACGAAGGTGGGGAAGGTTACATTATAATCTAAATTTGAGTAGAATTTAAATAATGCTGTATACAAATTGTTCGGTGCATAGTTTATGTAGGTGTATATACATGTATCTGTATCCATACGTCTTAGACTATCTGTCACCCTACCCATGTTCATCAAATTAATTTTGAAGGTCGCAGTCGTTCTATTATTGGCCAATACATTTAACAGAACACAATCCGTGTCATTGAAACTGGATTTACGTGGAGAGGTCGATTGCGTCGGTGGTCCATATCTATATTTGGGTTGCTATTGTATTAGCTATGTAGCAACGCTCAACTGAATTTAGTTTCTTTAAGAGATTCCAGAAGATCAAGTTAACTTCTTAATATACGTCTACTCTAGTTCAATTGGTGCCGATCAGTTTATTTGTAATGAATATAAATCGAACGAATGGCGGTATCAAGTCTACATACATTGTATGAACTGTTTCAGGAGCCCCGTACCACTTCCAAAATCTACAGCTATGCATCAGAAACTTATTTTTTCAAAATAAACAGAAAAAGGAAACTAGATTCTGCAGACTAATTTCTTCTATAAAAATAAGAGTAAATAAAGATGAAATAGAACATATAATATTAATCAACAAAATGCGTTCTATGTTATATATCAAGAGAGCAGACAATGAATGTGGCTAGAGAGGGATTTGAACCGCGAACCTTCTGACTCAGCAGTCACCGGTAACAGAGGTTCTTGTTTTGTTCAATGCCTCCGCCAAGAGTCGAACCCGTGACCTCTGGCTTACTAGTCTTACGCTCTACCGAATGAGCTAAAGAGAAATTTTCTCTAGCCGAGACGGTAGGAAGTGGCTAGTATTTTACCAGGGTGATATACTCCCTCTCTTAGAAAGAACTCGTCCCGAGTTTTCCAGGGGTCATAGCGATTCCTTTGCAAGTATCGCTGAGTATTTTTGTCAATATTACCCGGGTTCCTGAGTGAGCGCTAATGTAACAGAGGCCATTGTTTTTTTCAATGCCTCCGCCAAGAGTATATATTCACCAAAGATAAAATAAATCATAAATT